ACGAGCCATGGTGGCCGTGGTGACAGACGGGCAGAAGTACCTGACCAGTGCCTCCGTCCCACGGGGAACGGCTAAAGAAACAGAAGAGCTTGCTATCGCCCTCGCCCTCACACAAACGAAAACCTTCACAATAATCACGGATTCGCAAGAGGCATGCCGTAGCTTCCAGTCGGGCTGGGTGGCACCTGTCACGCTACGTATCCTAGAAAACAAGGCACCGGACAGGCAGGTCGACATTGTGTGGACCCCAGCCCACTCCTCCATGAGAGGAAACGAACACGCCCATCTCACGGCCCGAGACCTCGCTCACCAAGCCACGGAGAAGACACTGGAACCCACACCCCTCACGACCTATCAAGAAATTACACAACATTACAGGCTCAACAGAAGAACATTACCCGCACCACACCCTTCCCTCACGAGAAGTCAGGAAACCACACTCAGATTACTACAGACTAACACATTTCCCCATCCAATTAGGATGCACCTGCTATTCCCCACACAATTCGATGCCCAATGTCAATTCTGCAACCAACCCGGCACCCTGAGACACATCATATGGGAGTGTGACAATAACCCAGACATGTCACCCCCTTTTCCTTCCCCTACCCCCGAGCAGTGGGAGACACTGCTGTCCAGCTCCCTCCCTCAAGATCAGCTCTTGCTGGTGGAGAGGGCCGATCGAGCCAGGACGGCACATGGGTACCTGAATTGAGGATCCACCCCACAGCGTAAAACGATTAATAAATATGTTTTGTCCTCCTCCTCCTCGCCCACTAAATTAGCGGATTTTGGTGACTTCGCGCGTCTCAGTTTTTGTCGGCCGGTTTAGTTATCTTTTAGGTGGTTTTACGTTATAATATTTGACATTCGGTCTCTCTAGATGATACTAAAGAGAGTCGCAGTGCTTGCTAACAACCGAGAATAAAGCGAAGTTTACCTTTAAAATCTCGTGATCCTCTTGCAACAGTTTTACCTTTGAACGCCAGCTTCAGTTAACTCTAAAGAAACTTGGTAGCTTGGCAGACGGAAAAGGTTTTAGGTTTTTCCTAGAGAAAACGCTTTCTCTGCCGTTTTTGTTGCGCCGTGAGCTACCTTTGAATGAAGACTTCGAACTGAAAGCCATGCGGTTGCCTGTTAAAAAAATGTGCATAGATTTCTCGGTATTGCCACGCGCGTCGCCGAGCGAACGAGTGTTTGAAAGAATGGTTAGCGCGCTTGACTGTCACGTGGAAGGTCTAGAATCGATTTCAGCCATCGGAATGTCCTTTTATTTTTTTTTCTACTTGGCGTTTTCTAAGTTCATGAACATTCTCGTCTGATGAAGTTACAAATGCTCTACGTGCCGAAAGTTCCACTCCAAATGTTGCAGAAACCCATGAGGGTACATAAGGGGCTACACGTTGCAAGCCGCAGTCAGTCTCGCCCCAGCGTACTGTCGTGCTGTTACGCGGCCATCGACGCCCGCGCTGCCCTACAGTTATATTATGTTTTCTTTTTGTTCTGGGCACACGTTCGCCCCCTTAAGCGTCTAGTTATTTCAGTTATCATCGCCACGTCAATGGTCATTTGTAACATTTTGATGGAGGAGCGGAGTAGAGCTTTCTATGCCCGTGTATCGTACCCCATGGAAGACATCCCGGCCAAGTGAAACGCTCAGCCCCGGTAGGCTACCATTCGCAAAAGACGGCGACGCCAGAGCTAGCCGCCGTACCAAATGTCGATCCCCGGAATTCGAACCCCTGTCGCAGAAACCGAAGAAGACAGCGATGATATCCACTCCACCCGTCGTTGTCCTACCCGTCGCTGCCCGTACCCCCGTGTCCTTCCATAATGAACCCTATAAAGACGTCGGGCTCTGGCTACAGCAGTACGAGCGAGTGTCCCAGCACAACTGATGAACGGAAGAACAGCGCCTTAAGATTATTGACTTCGTGCTCGAAGGAAAGGCTGAGCATTGGTTCGAGAATCGCGAAACTTCCCTGAACTCGTGGACCGCCTGCAAGGATACGCTGAGACAGACTTTCACCAACCAATATTGACGGGAGAGGGCCGAGCATCTTCTCTGATTGAGGACCCAGTGCGCAAACGAGGTGTTTACCAGTTTTGTCGAGGATGTCCTAGGCCTGCTCGCGAACGCCGACCCTCAAGCCATTGACGAAAACAGGCTGCGGATCCCCATTCAAGTCATAAAGGATGGCATCTTCGGTAGTCTTGTCCGCAACCCCCCCACCACCGTCGAAGATGTCATCAAGAAACTCACAAGCATGAAACAAGCTCTCTTTGTAAGAGCCAAACGCTACCATCGGAACTCGAGCATCGCTGCTTCTTCTGCACTGGGCTGCGACATCAACCATAGCATCCACGGCATTCGCAACATCAACCGGGAAGTGGTCCAGGAAGAGCTCCGCAAGATGCTCCCCGCTGCAAATAGCCCTTCCTCACTATCGCTCGCGGAGGTTGTCCGAGAGGAGGTTCACCGAGCCGTCCTGCCTGAAGTTTCCATCAATACGTCGAAGCGAGAGGAACCAGCGTTGAACTACGCTGCCATGGCCCAACGACCTCCGCAAGCTAACCGCCAGGCCACAGCACCACCCCAATGAAACCCTCCGATGCCGCAGTATCCTCGGCGTCAGGAAGGTCAGGTCCAGTACGTACGTCCGGAACAACCCTCGCCAAAGATACCGACGTGTGGCGGACTGCCGACAGGTTAGCTCTCTGCTACCACTGCGGTGAGGCCGGCCAAGTTTACCGGAGGTGCCCATACCTTCAAATGAGCCTTCAAAGGTTTGCGCCGAACGGACCTCGCCCAAGGTACGGCGAACGCCATCGTGACATGGAGAAATACCGACGACAACTCCTGTCCCCGGCGCCGATTCCACCCCGAAGTTCCCGTTTGCCTTTGCCACGACGTGCGCTCTCCCAGGCAGCACAAGATATTGTGCCGACATTGGTCTCAGCATGGTTAAGGTGGCCCCATATGGGCCCAGCTTGACCAGTCTAGAGCCAGCATTCATGATGCCGGCACTAAACTGGCTACATGACGGCAACATTGGCCGTTTCTGCCAGCGTCCAACCAATATTGCGGCATCCCGGCTACATGACGGCAACATTGGCCGTTTCTGCCACCTTACAAAAGATATTGCTGCATCCCGGCTACATGTCGGCCACATGACGGGAACTTTGGCTGTTTCTGCCAGCTTCCAAAAGATATTGCTGCATCCTGGCTACATGACGGCAACATTGGCCGTTTCTGCCAGCTTCCAAAATATATTGCTGCATTCCGGCTACATGACGGCCACATGACGGCAACATTTGCCGTTTCTGCCAGCTTTCAAAATATATTGCTGAAAATATATGAAGTTCTATATCGGGCAACCACCGAATGACGGCACTGCACCGGCCAAGTCGCGGCAACATCGCCGGGATTCTTCCATATGTACTAGGAATATTTAGACACATAAACATTTTTGCCTATAAAACCTTAACCATCGGAATTTAAAACCTGAATTGATTGATGTTTCTTTCATCTTCGAGCGCTGCTCTTAGGCGTCCGTTTCTGGCTTGAGCGGCGTTGCCGTCGGCGTAACAGTAAAGCGTCGGCGTAACACATTTTCGTGACGCGCCACAAAAAAGCGTTACGCCGACGTGTTACGCGACGCGTCACGAAAAAGTGTTACGCGACGCCGACGCGTTACGCGACGCGTCACGAAAAAGTGTTAGGCGACGCCGACGCGTTACGCGACGCGTCACGAAAAAGTGTTACGCGACGCCAACGCGTCACGAAAAAGCGTTACGTGGAAACGTTACGCGACGCCGAGGTGTCACGAAAAAGCGTTACGCATCCGCGTTACGCGACGCCGAGGCGTCACGAAAAAGCGTTACGCCTACGCGTTACGCGACGCCGAGGCGTCACAAAAAAGCGTTGCGCTGACGCCGAGGCGTCGTGGAACGCATCGTCATAACGTTTTTTTGGGACGCCGAGGCGTCCCGAAAAAGCGCGTAACGCTTTTTCGTAACACCTTGGCGTCGCGTAAGGCGTCCGCATAACGCTTTTTCGTGACGCGTCGGCGTAACGCTTGTTTGTGACACCTCGGCGTCGTGTAACGCGTCGGCATAACGCTTTTTCGTGATGCGTCGGCGTAGCGCTTTTCGTGACACGTCAGCGTCGCGTAACGCTTTTTCGTCACGCCTTTGCGTCGCGTAACGAAAAAGCGTTACGCCGACGGCGACCGTAAAGGTAGCCGTAACGCGTCGGCGTGACGCGTCGCCGTCGGCGTAACCGCGCGGTGCATTATGGGAACCGTGCCATAATGCACCGCGGTGCCGCGCGTGTTGCATTATGGGACGTCTCCCACAATGCACCAAGCGAGAGGGAGGAGGAGGACAAGAGGGAGGAGGGAGGAGGAGGAGGGACAAGGATGAAAAAGAGGCAGGAGGAAGAGGGCTCTCCCCTGACAGCTCCCCCGCCTCTCCTCTACCTACGTCACTGGTGTATGAAAATCGCAAAATAACCCGCTGTTACTGAGCCCCGCAACTCGACCAAAGCTTCAGACAAAAAAAAATAAAAAATAGAAATACAAATAATTTTTAAGCAAAACATAAAAACTCAAAACAAATATCCAATAATTAATTAAGATATTGCATATCCTCATATTAAAAAAATCAAGTTAAATTAAGATGTCGAACACCCTGTTCCTTTTTTTTCTTTTTGCATATAAGTTGTCGTAGATTTCAGTCAGCAAACAATGGTTATCATGGAACGTATAACAGGAGAAGAAGCTGGGACATTATGTCTGCTCGCCCAAAAAAATTGACATCAAACTGCGTAGAGAACAAGATAACTCCAGTAATGGCTGGCCACGGTAGCGACACTGGCAGTAGAGTTGGGTCGAAACCGAAACTATATGCCGCAGTCGTATACTTGTCCGATCCAAAGTCACAGCCAATCCAAAGTCTAATCCAAAGTCACAAGCATTTTCTGAAGTCGGGATTCTATTCCGTCCCGTCCGTGCAGACAAAGGCCTGTTTGAACCTTCAACGTGCGTGGGTCAAATGATTGTTTAGGTAAGTTTTCTCGATTTCATATTCATAATGCATGCCGGAAGAGTATCATCTACATGTGCTGGATGATCTTCCGAGCACCGTAGCTTACGTTGCCACCGTAATTCGGATGATATTTATCTTTTTCGACACTTGAGCGGTCTGCGCGATTTTGTGTCGAGTCGCACTTCTTTCTATCGGGATGCTGGCTGCCTTCGGGAAACGATCGCTATCGCTTATGGAGGCCGTTCATTCAAGCCTTGCGTAAATGCTAGCCGGTATCTTGAGAATCCCGTGAATGTTCTGCGATACCGGAGCACTGCAGAGACGCTGATCAGATTGTTTCGAAAGTTCGCGTTGCTATCGGCGAGCCCTTCGGACACGCTGCAAATGCCAGGCGCGCTAAACTGAGCTGTGCTGTCAAACGCTTGGATACGGATCTTAGAACGAACGCCTTGAATGTGTTCACGACGGCGACACGCGTGAAGAATTGGATGGTTTTTACTTTGACGTGTCGTCTCGTCCTTTCTCACGCTTGCGACAACGTATCTCGGTCAGCGCGCGCTGGCTTTTTGAGCTGCGTCGAGCGGGATGGCGCGGTTGGGGTGCTGGCGTTTAGCGGGTTTCAGCGGGTTGCTAGAACACGCTTTAAGCTGGGCGTCGTCGTAGCGCTCGCGTACGGCGTGTGCCCCGCGCCGGCCTGCTCTGCGTGTCGTCGGTGTTTAGGCGCGCGGGCCTAGGGTTGCTTAAAAGTGTTGACAGGACCCTGTTAAGCTCCTCACTTCCGTTGCTTTCCCCCTTACGGGCCCTGCATATATGTCTAGCCTTGCGAGCCACCCAGAGTACTACTACTGTAGCTAATAAAGATTATTATTGTTTGCCTTAACGGCGTTTTAGTTTACCCCGGTCATATTCGTGACTTCTAGAACCCGGGGGTGCACACATACTTTACATGGCTGAGGAAAGAGGTTATATGTAAGCAGTGATAGAGTGCAGGCGAGCTGGTAATTAATCGACATCTTGTAAACCCTGAGATGTTTGTTCGTTTTTTTAGCGTTCCCGATATCAGTGTTTACAAGATATAGGTTATACGATTTGATTAAAATGCTCAAGAAAGTTGCAGTGTAAAAATCGCACACCTGGCAGGTGCTCTCGCTTGTATAGTGGAAAGCTCGCAATGAAAACTCGCACGGCTGTCCCTTTTCACACTCCGAAAACGGAAGCTTTGCCATGGTCAGCACATTAACATTCTGTGGTGCTTAGCTGGTGGGGGCAGTAATGTAGGAAGGGGGAGGAGGGCGGCAAGCAAACAATTGTAAAGATGCAATTCCTTCCGCCCCCCCCCCCACGCACACACACACAGATGTTCAAAACTGCCGCTGCTGCCGCACCCAAACAGTCATGACATCTATCGTCTACTTACAAATGTGCACATCATTCTATTAAAAAAAAATGACAGTAACAAATGGCCGGGGACCAGTGGCGTACCAACTTGTTTCTGAGTGAGGGGGCAAACGACACCCCCCCCCCCCCCCCCCGAGCCTGGGGGGCGGTGCCCTTGGTATCCCTTCGGCGCCGCCGTCCAGTGTTTGCCCTGCCCAGTGGCGGCTGTTTAAGGGGGGGGGGGGGGCTGCAAAACATATTCCTTGCCCCCCCCCCCCCCCCCCGGTTGGTACGCCCATGCCAGGGACTTTTCAAGCATTCCCTCATCTAGTAGTATTGAAAATGTTCAGAAAACGTGTATAGTCTTGTGCTGAGGTCATGGGGGCAGTGGCATAGGAAAGGGGGGTTCTTTTTTTTAATAATACTGTTTACTGGAAATGACTGATTTTCCTGCAGCCCCCCCCCCCCCCCCCTCTTTTCGTATGCCACTGCCCCCATCACCTAAGCACAAGACAATACACGTAAGAAATTGCACGCTGCTCTAGTTTCTTTTTTTTCTTTCGTCGATAAAAATATTGAACCCTACAAAAAAAATTATCGCCAGAACTTTTTTCTTTTCTTTCCTTATTTTTTTTTTTGGGGGGGGGGTGATGTGTTTGGGATTTTCTAAGTTTTGGAGTGGGTACAAGATAACCACCCCTTTCCCCTAACCCCTCCCTCCCCCTGCAACAAACACATACACATACATTGATCGCCTGTGTCCGATCCCCGTGGCGTGAGTACCGTTTAATCTGAAGTGCACCACCCAATGCTAATTAATTTTGTTTTAATAGAAGCAAAAACATTTGCTTGAAATTATTATAATTCTGAAACCAGAACCACCAATATTTTTATAAACTCGTCGAGGCTCAAGGCCAGTGTCATTCACAACACAAAGTTGAGAACTTCTAAACCACTCTGTTCACAGCGTGACAAAATCGCACCACACGCGAAGTGCAGATAAATAAAATCCAACACACTCCACGGCTTCGTGCCAACGCCTTCGTACCCTAATCTCCTAGTACCCCCGTACAGCGTCCGTGCCTCCGCACGCAATCCGCACTCACACTAGAGTCTACTCACACACTTTGAGTGCGGATAAGAATCTAACACAATCCGCACTCGGAGTGCGGATAAGAATCAAAAATTATTCACACTCGGAGTGCGGATTAGAATCCACCACTATCCACACTCGGTGTGCGAATAGGGACAACCACAAGCAAACTCCCATACCTGCCAGGCGCTCTCGCTTGTACAGTGGAGACACATTCAAATCAAGTAGATCCAGCTTTGAATGTGAAGGCTTCCTACTTCAACTTTTAAATACTCGAGGTTCTGTTAAAGTTGAAGGGAGTCTCTTAAAGCATTTTTGGAACCATGTCCAAAACCCATTGCTGGCCACAATTTTAGTCTAAAAGGCTGGTCCACACTGTTGCTACCTGCTAGGACTGAATCTGATAAAACCAGTCTTCAAGCCTCTTGTGACAGCTTATGATCGTGCTGCGCAGCAGCAATGTTATTCGTAAGCAACTTAACACCCTGTTTTGTTCAACTTGGTCATAGTCGGTTGCAACAGTGTGAACCAGCTTTAACACCTTAGGTGAATATAATCAACAGTAGCTTCAGGATAAACTTGCGCATTGTACTACCCCAAAGTATTTTGACCACATCTCCGGTGTTGATTCTTGATTTCTATCCCAGCACTGCAGAACACGTCAAAAGGCTTGTTGATTGCTGTGCATGCGCCTATCAAGCGAGCTGTGCTATTTCTAGGTGGTGTTTAATTTGTTCTGAAGTTCCCGGGATCTTTTAAGGCGCCGGTAGGTGTCTAAGCTCCACATGCACACTGTTCTTAATACAATTACTTCATGCAGAAGTTAATTTTTCTTATTTGGTTGAGTTTAATGGTGGTGCTGTCATGGTCTTTGCACTGTCGACGACAAGAGAAGCGTCATGTTGCACTTGTTCTTTTGTTGATCCGTGAAGCAAGTTCTCATTTCTTTTTTGTTCCAGAATGTCAGTCTGAGTCTTATTCATGATGTTGCAGGAAGTCTGTATGATGACGAAAAAACTGCAGGTGACGAGAAGCTGCCGATGAGCTGCCAGTCCGGATGGCAGCTGTCAACACGGCAAGGGCCTGCAGGCGCATCAGCTCTCCTCCCGTTCCTCTACTGCCATTGGAGACAGGATGCTTTGTAAAAAGGTGAAACAGGGCCCTTGCACTGTTTCCACAGCGCCCTGCTGGATTTATCTCACATTTTGATTTTCGAAACAAACAACATTACAAACTGTAAAATACCGAACAAAGGCCCACTCTAAATTGGAGATAATCATAGAGAGCTGGGGGTTGAGCACTTGGTAGGTACGATAGTGGGTAAGTGTTCATGGTCCCTTGCTTGGTCTGTGCACGGAATTACGAATAGCTGCATTGCGGAGCTTGTTAATTATGCAAACACAAAAAAACAAACCGTGACTTCTTTTTTTTTTTTTTTTTTGCAAAGAAGCATTCTGAAAAGTGTTTGATTAGCATTGACTGTTACTAAAGCCTTCAATTTACTCTTCTGAGTTAGAACAAAAGAGCAACCCATCTTTTCTTGTACACCACTTTCTGTGGCAATAAAAAGAAAGCTAAGGGGGGGGGGGGGGCAGGCAGGTGCAAATGGCTTTGTGTTAGCGCACCACGTAGTTCGAAACTTCTTTTGGTCTCGGTTTGAGTTTGGGTTTTGGCAGGTCAACCACGCAGTTGCTAGAGTGCATCTCTTTTGTACGAGGATTGGAGTTCAGGGAGTTGAATTGGGATTGCCGAGCATGGCAGGCACATTCACATATCTTTACTTTCGGGTTACCCTGCACTGCCCGAAGGCATTATTGCAGGGGGGGTGAGGAGAGGGGAGGTATGTAGTCATTCATGAAGGTAGAAATACGCTCGTGCATATGTACCAAAAAAAACAAGAAATGCAGGCACACAGGTAAACACATTCAAAAACAAAAGCGAGCCCCCCGCAGGGGGCACCTGTGAAAGCAGGTGTTTGGAGAGTGGCGTCTCCACGGACCCCGAGCCATGCGGGTTCGCCCGCCCACGTATGGCTGTGCGTGGCTTTCCCGTGTCCGGGGAAAAGGGCATCCTGGTGGTTGAGCCGAGCCCGGGGTAGGTTTGGACCCTTCGGGGCCCCCCGGGTGAGGCAATACACCACTTCGGCCCCTGCTTCTCGTAGACGGGAGTCCTGGTAAGGCCCGGCCAGGATGATTCAGTCTAGTCGCCACTTCTACTATCCCCTCTCTACTTTCACCCTTGTCTTCTCCTTCTTTTCACTCTTCTCATTTCTCTTCTTTCCTTTTCAACTCCTTTGGCGGCAAGGGCTAACCTTGGGTGGCGACAGACACCTTGTCCAAAACCACTCTTGGTTATAGAGACTGGGCAGCACTAATAGCGTAACGTCTTCAGCCAAGCCATTCTTGTTATGGAGCGTTACCTATTCCCTTGTTGGGCTCGGTGGTGGGCGGTGCACCACAGTTTCCGAAAAACCTCCCCCTTCATATGGGTTCCAAGCTTAACCTTTTGATCGGCCCCCCAAAAGGGGCCGCACCGAAGCACTGAACACGAAACAATCTTTTGTACTGGAAAAATTCCCGAAATTCCTTGTTATGCACTCGGAAGGTGACAAGCCACTTGACAAACTTTCTCCCTTTCTAGTCTCCAAAGTTCTTGAGGGTGTTATTTGCGCCAATTACAATGCAAAGAAGATGGGATCTGATGATGTCCTTGTCGAGGTCAACACAAAGCAGCAAAGTGATGCCCTCCTTAAACTGAACCTTGTCTCTGACTACAAAGTAAGCGTCAGTCCTCACCGCAAACTGAACAGTGTTCAAGGGGTCATTTCTGAGGATGACTTGCTTGACTCACCTGAGCCAGAGATAGTTGAGGGCCTCTCTAGTCAAGGAGTTATAGATGCACGACGAATCACTATCCGCCGTGATGGTGCGGAACGGAAGACAAAACATATAATTTTGACTTTCGATTCAACCACTCTGCCGCAGACTGTAAGGGCAGGTTACCTTCAATGCCGGGTCCGACCTTATGTGCCGAACCCTCAACGGTGCTTTAAGTGCCAGAGGTTCGGCCATGGGTCACGGAACTGTCGGGGAAGGGACACCTGTGCAAAGTGCTCCAGCAAGGAACACGTTGCAGATGTGTGCGATAATGAGCCTCATTGTGCGAACTGTAGTGGCAACCACCCGGCATACTCTCGATCTTGCCCTGTGTGGAAAGACGAGAAAGAAGTTCTTACATTAAAAGTTACCGAAAACATTACCTACACTGAGGCAAAGAAGCGTTTTGCTTTTGTATCGAAAGGGTCTTATGCCGAGGCCGTGCGCAGGGGACCAGCGCGGCCAGTAGTTTCGATGGGAACGCAGACGTCTCCGGACGACCTGCATCTCCCGTCACGGTCCCCCTCTAAACCCCCGAGAGCGGCGCCAGTGGCACCGCCTCCGAACCGCAAGGTGAATGCTGCTTTGCCAGCATCCGCCCCAGAACGGGAGATGTCGTCTCCTGCTCAACCGGCTGCTTCGACCTCTCGGGGTCGGGGCCTACCTCCCCACACCTCTGCTCCTCAGAGGAAGCCTGGGGAGGTGCCAAAGCAGTCGACCTCCAAGGGCCAGCTGCCAGCAACTCCAGACGAGCCCATGGACGAGGGTGGGTCGAGATCTGATGAGGAGGCTCTCCTCTCAAGATCAGAGTCCACCCCCTCTGCCTCCGGTGACTCTAATCGGAGGCAGAATAACCCCCTAAAAAACAAAGTGCACCGCGTGTAAAAATAGATTTTAAACCGTAAGGAATATCGCTTTTTAATATAATTTGTATGGTATACTTGTTTTGTTTGAAATGGTTAAAAATACAGGTATAATGCAGTGGAACTGCCGCGGTCTTTTTCGTAATATTGATGATGTCAACTTTTTTCTCGATGAGCTCCAGCCTGTTGCCATCTGTTTACAGGAGACTCATCTTAATGAAACACATACACAGGTACTACGGCGACATCAGGTTTTTAGAAAAGACCGTGTTTCTTGTAACACCTCTTCTGGTGGAGTAGCTGTGGTTGTGCAGAGTGGTATTGCCTGTGCACCTGTCCCTCTCGCAACCCCCTTAGAGGCAGTAGCAGTTCGTGTTCTGCTTGACCGCCTAATTACTATTGTTTCGCTTTACCTTCCACCAAACTTTCCAGTGCATTTACATGACCTGCAAGGGCTTGTGGGCCAACTGCCACAGACTTTTTTAATCTTAGGAGATTTTAATGCACACCACCCCATGTGGGGCAGTGCTCGTCAAGACTCTCGTGGCGGTGTCATAGAACGTTTTTTTACTGTCATCTGGCCTTTGCCTTTTAAACAAGAGACAACCAACTTTTTTTAGTGCACCTCATAATACTTTTACTTCCATCGATCTTTCCATATCATCACCTACTTTACTTCCTTGTTTTTTTTGGAAAGTTTTAGAAAATCCTTTCGGTAGTGACCATTTTCCTGTAATTTTAGAAAGTTCAGTATCCCTTCCTTCTCTTCGAGCTTGTGCTCCCAAGTGGAAGTTAGATAAAGCCGACTGGGCTTTATGTTCTCTGGAGGCAGTGGTTGATCCCGCTGTTTTTTTAGCTATGTCTCCTGAGGAAGCGACTCTTTATCTTACCGAAAAAATTATAAATGCTGCTTCTCTGTCAGTTCCCCGAACTTCTGGAAATATTCCCAAGAAATGCAAGCCTTGGTGGAACAAGGATTGTACAACCACCATAAAAGCTCAGGATAAGGCTTGGGGAAGGTTTCGGCGGTACCCGACTGTTCAGAACAAGATCAAATTCAAACAGTGTAAAGCAAAAGCTCGTTGGACACGAAAACAAGCCAAGAAGACCTCATGGGTGAAATATGTATCCTCCCTAAACAGTTTTGTTCCTGCAAAAGAGGTATGGGATCGTGTTAAGAAAATTCGAGGTACTTACCACTCATTCAGCATTCCCCTTTTTCCTTCATCCCCATCACTAAAAGATCAGGCTGACTGTCTTGCTGAACATTTTCGAGCAGTCTCCAGTTCTTCAAATTACTCTTCCAAATTTAAAAAGTTCAGGTCCTTGGCAGAAAAACAGCATATTGATTTCTCTGGAAGTGATACTGGTTACAACCGGCCGTTCACAATGTCTGAGCTTGAATTTGCCCTTGCAGTAAGGAAGCAGTCAGCACCTGGTCCAGATATGATTCATTATGAACTGCTGAGGCACTTGTCGGCTGAATCCTTGGTGAATTTGTTGTCTTTCTTTAACTATTTATGGGAAGCTTCTGGTTTTCCACAGTGCTGGAAGCGAGCACACATCATTCCCATCTTGAAGCCTGGCAAAGACCCTTCCCTACCAGCAAGTTATCGGCCTATAGCACTGACTAGTTGTCTAGGAAAAACTTATGAACGGCTTATTAACAGAAGGCTAGTATACATTCTAGAACAAAAGAAAATTTTTGATAAAAACCAGTGTGGTTTTAGAAGAGGTCGCTCAACCTTAGATCACCTTGTCCGGTTGGAGACTTTCGTGCGTGAGGCTTTTGTGAACCGGCAGCATTGCGTTTCTGTCTTTTTTGATTTACAGAGAGCTTACGATACGGCATGGCGGTACGGAATACTTCAGGACCTGTATAGGTGTGGCGTTCGTGGTCGCATGCTGCGTTGCTTAAAGGACTTCTTGACAGACCGTTTCTTTCAAGTCCGCCTGGGATCCACGCTCTCAGATGTTTTTTACACAGGAAAACGGCGTCCCACAAGGAGGTGTCTTGAGTGTTACCTTGTTTGCAATTAAGATCAACAGCCTCGCTGCAGTTATACCACCATCAGTATTTTATTCATTGTACGTAGACGATGTCCAGATCGCTTTTTCCTCATGCAACTTGTCAATTTGTGAGCGCCAATTGCAGATAGCAATAAATAGGATGAGTAAGTGGGCCGATGAAAATGGCTTCCGATTTGCACCAGAAAAAACAGTGTGCGTGCCTTTTTCATTACGTCGAGGGTTGTCGCCAGATCCAGCTTGCAGATGAATGGCATTGACGTAACCGTTAGACATGAGCACAAATTCTTGGGTGTTATTTTTGATAAGAAGCTCACTTTTCAGACCCATCTAAAAGAACTGAAGCGAAAGTGTCTTAAATCTGCCAATGTTCTCAAGGTGCTTGCACACATGTCCTGGGGTTCTGACAGGAGATGCCTCCTGCGACTCTACAACTCGCTGGTTCGTTCCCGCCTCGACTATGGTGCGGTTGTATATGGCTCGGCACGACCGTCATCTTTAAAAATGCTAGATCCTGTGCATCACCTTGGACTTCGACTTGCCACGGGGGCCTTCCGAACGTCGCCTGTCCCGAGTTTGTATGCAAAGCCGTACCAAATGCCGCTAGAAAAGCGAAGACAGTTCCTCAGCCTATGCTATAGTTATAAAGTCAAATCTGACCATAAACACCCATCCTTCCATTGTTTGCAGGTATCTCCTTTTTTTCGTCTTTTTGAGAATAATCCAAGTATAGTACGGCCTTTAAGCCTCCGCATTCAATGCATGTCTGCATCCCTGCAGCTTGCACTTCCTGAGCGTAGCTTGATGACAAAAGTTCGAAGCATTGCTCCTTGGAAGGCGGTTCACTATACCTGTGACTGGTCACTAGCGAAATACAATAAGCGAACTGTTGCACCACTAGTCCTTCAGGAAGAGTTTATGACCTTGCAAGCTAAGTATAAGGACTATGCACAATTCTTCACTGATGGTGCAAAAACTCCACACTTTGTCGGTTCGGCTGTATATTCAGAACACTTTGTAAAAGCTCGACGGCTTCACTCTGTTGCCAGCATTTTAACTGCAGAACTTTATGGTGTGCTCATGGTTATTGAATATATATTAGGCAACAACATCAGGAAAGCTATTTTGTTTGTGGACTCCCAGAGTGCTATCCTCTCTCTCTGTTCCCTCCATGATGCTAAGAATCGGCTCGTGCAACAAGTACAGGTAGAGTTAAACCTGGCTTCCCAAATGGGATACAATATCAAGCTATGCTGGGTACCAAGCCATGTGGGAATTTCAGGTAATGAAAAGGCGGATAGGCTAGCAGCCTCTGTTAAGGATGCTCTGGAAACACCTGTTCAGCTGCCTCAAGAAGATTTTAAACCGGTTTTCAAAAAAGCAGTTTATTATGCCTGGCAGCAAGACTGGGACAAAGAAATAAATAATAAGCTACATGTTATCAAACCACGTTTGGAGTTATGGGAGAGTTCGCACCATAGAGACCGTCGCCATGAAGTCTTAATGTGTCGCTTGAGAATTGGACATTCACGTATCACCCATCGGCATCTTCTTTGTGGTGAGGACACCCCAGTCTGTGAGCATTGCGGTGAATCGCTAACTATACTGCATATTCTATGGCACTGCAAATTCTTTGATCAGGAACGTCGGACGAGTTTTCCTTCACTTTCTGGATATCTTCCATTTCATCCAGCCTTCTTACTGGGAGATGAACCCTTAGTTCCTTTTGGTCACATTTTAGATTTTCTTAAAAAAACTGGCTACCTGTACCAGTTATAGATCCTCTGCATAGTAATTCCTTCCTTCTACTATAGAGTCTTTTAATTATCTCTTTGGCGCAGCATGGCCTATGTTGCTTTTTGCGCCATTAAACACCTAATAATCAATAATCAACAAAAGCGAGCCCAGAATAAGGTAAAAGCCACATTGCTTGCTCACATTCTATAGTCGGTGACAGGTCAATAAGGAAGTGGAAGCTGCTCCCACCTTTTTCCACTATAGCAGACTGAACCCTGGAGAGGAGGTGCCCTCCTTTCCAGCGTTTGCTCTGCTAAAGGGGAAAGAGGTGGGAGGAGCTTTCACTTCATTCTTGACCTGTCACCGACTATTGGTACCTGCCAACGTTCCATGTTTTTGGACGTAAGCCAACACTTTGACCAGTAGGATGAATTGGGCTGTTGTATATTGGGTGTATCAAGGAGCGGCCAGGATCTTTAAATCGACTGCAAAATTCGGTTTCTTAACCTTTCGCACTACGACTTTGTGCAGCGTTGCCTACAGATGGTGCATTTTTTTGTAAAATTTGCAAAGAGCGATCTTACCTGAGGAAAAAGTAAAGAAAGAAAAAGGCTTAGCTCCTATGGAAATGATGCGAAGCCAAAGGTCTTCAAACAATATGGCGCCGTTTCACTAGAGAGACAAAAGATGGCGCAAGGGGTCACGACGCCAACGTACGAGCATACGGTGCACCGAAAGCTGGCGTCTTTAGCAGACAATCTTTTCGACTAAAAAGTGGCACGAGCTTTTCTGATATCAGTTGCCAATGCATTATTTTATTATCCTTACTGATAAAACATTTTGAAGGGGCACATAATCGATTACAAACGTGGTTTGTTGGGATATTTTGACTGTTTTTTTTTCGGAGTACCGATGTCATCTGCTTTGCAGTTCCTTGTTGTTACCGGGCCTGTTTTTGTTTCTGCGACTGTCGCCGCCTGCGGAATGCACTCTACTCTTGAGTTGAAAAGATTGTCTGCTAAAGACGCCAGCTTTCGGTGCTGTATGCTCGTTCGTTGGCGCAGTTGGCATTGTGGCCGCTTGTGCCATCTCTTGTCTCCCGTGCGAAATGGTGCCGTATTGTTTGAAAACCTTTGCCTTCGCCGCATTTCCATAGGAGCTAAGCCTTTTTCTTTCTTTACTTTTTCCTCAGGTAAGTTTGCTCTTTGCAAATTTTACAAAAAAAGTGCACCATCTGTGGGCAACGCTGCATAAGTCATAGCGCGATAGGTTAAGAAACCGAATTTTCTGGTCAATTTAAAGAGCCTGGCCACTCCTTGATACACCCAGTAGTTACCACATATATGTGCAGATCACTCATGCAGTTTTTAATGACCATTGGTGCCCAACTCAACCTCGTGCAGGGTGTCTATGAACTGGAAAAATGGTAATGTTGAGGAAGTTGGCGATTGCAAAAGCCTGAAGATTTCCACCCTAATCACCATCGATCAGGGATGTTCAGCCTTCCCTTGTCTGAATGTCAGCAAAAGACACGTGTGGTGTGACACATGAACCTTCCTACTCAGGAACTCAGCCAGCTTGCCAATGTAAATCTCTGCTTGGAAACTATAGTCGTGGGAGAATCCAGAGATACAATTTCATCTCGAAATGTATGAAAAACACAAACTTCTGTACTGTAAATGAAGTGCTGCTGCTTATGGCAGTGCTGCTTATGGCAGATTTTTGGAAGTGTTTCACAGTGCGACAGGTTGTCTCTAGAGCTACCCATTTGCTCCTGAATGGACTTTCCATGGGATTTTTTTACAGGCTGTGAACATCATGGCTATTGAGGTAGTTTCTGCTGCGGGGAAGAGAATATCCCTCAGCTTGATAGTCCACAGAAGCTTTAGCAGCCAGGATTTTGGATGCAGCGAGAGCAATGACGTTTGCCTTTAGCTCATATTTTTAGCCAGAAGTTGTACAACCAACCGCCAGGGTTGTCTCATCCGACAGCAGGACATGCCGGCTACTGTGGCGTCATTTAATGCTGTCGCTTAGAGACCACCTTTAATGAGTGGTATAGAATGCTAGAACGCAGAGGCATCTGCTGCTGGGATGTTCTGATTGGTTCTCATTGCAGTCATTACAATTTTCAGATTGTTTCTTTTCTTCAGTGGGAGCTCATGAAGGTGGCACTGTGCATAGAGGGACAGAGTGGCTGACAGTGAGCTGCCCAAGACAACCTGCTGGCTCTCGTGACCATCTCCGAAAGCCTCTGGATGGGCTAATTGACAGGCGTGCCTGGACATTTATAAACGGTAAACACAATCTAGACTACCTTTGAATTACGCCTTGGTCTAACTGCTGTTACCAGGATACAGTGTTTGGCTGCTAGAATTGAACTGGATATGCTAAGCGGCACATGTTGCCAAGTAAGGACACGCTGGGACGCTTATTGATAAACTGCGCTTCCCAGTCCATGAGCCACCAAAGACCCTGCCAAAGAGATCCCGAGTCAAGTCCGAATAACTAAATCGATTCGTTGCGGCCTTACAGTGTGCCGCCCGGAAACCCCAGGCATATCCAAAAAGAAATCAAAGCGATGATAGCGAACCGGGAGCACTCGATCTGTCAGGTCACGATTAATACCCCGGGCGGACATCGTTCGTCGATAAAGGTGGCGCGTGTGGGCTCATGAAATATGGATCCGCGTGTAAGTTTTCTGTTAATCTTGCTAGTAGCAGCGTCATAGTCGTTAATTAAATTGTCGGGGTTGCCCCGCTCATTGCGACAAACCGAGCAAAGCAGAGCGAAAGAACGGAGATAAAGACTACCAAAAGTGACGTCATTAGCAGGGTCCGACAACCCTTGCTTGCCAATAGGCTGACTTGGGGATGCCAACGATGATGTCACGAAGCTTTGGACAGGTTACATGTGGAAGAAAGGCTCAGTGCATGCCTTGCTATAATTGCTGCACATATTCAAAATAAATGCAGTTTACGTCGACTTTTGCCCAAGTTTAGTGCAATTACTGAATTAACGAGCCAAAATGCTATGTAAGTCTGCTTCTAACTCAGATTTTTTATAAAGTGCTTCAAGCTACCTTTAATGCTAGTTTGACTTAGTTGCACAAGCCTGTGCCAGTGCACAAACTAGAGCCTATACATTGCTGTACTATTTTACATTTAATGCACTGCCAAAGGAAAAGGTTCAGATACAATTAAGCCCAAGAAGCTAGACCATTAATTTGAATGTGACATACAATAGACTAATTAATTGAAACTCCAGGAAGCCACGAATTTTGCATGAATTATCAAAAGCTCAAATTATCCAAAGTTCATCTAAATATGTTGCAAGATAAATTATGATTTTCTATATGGATGGCTACACATACAAAACAGATATTTCGTGATTTCCTCTGCACAGGCCCATTAATCATAAGCTGGTATGCCATTCATGAAACATTGGTAACATTTATGACAAGTTTATTCGACCCTCAAAAATGTTGTTTATCAGGGACTGTTTAGACAGCACATGACACCTCAAAACAAATTAAGTTTGTTCAACCAGACAAAAAGTTGTCTATTAGGGACTGTTAAGCAGGGACCCACGAGTAATGGAAACGGGCATTGTGGTGCAGTTTTTATAGCAACTTGCGTGAACACTGCCATATAAAGCCATGCCGCCACATCACAGCATCCTTGCAAATTGATATGGAAACTGCCGCGCGGCGCCCGTTTTTGCCGCTCATGTGTCCTCTGCTTCAGAGACGTATATAGAGATAGTTTAACCATTCATTTGGTTGTATAGAAGGCAAATGAGGAGGCGCCTTTCGCTTAAGGTGGGCTGGGCGTGTTCCAGATCATTTTCACAAATTCGTATGTGGCCAACTAGCAGCCGCGTATAATATCCTGGCAGTGGTTGTGAGAAACAAATTAATGAGCTTGTCCGAGTAACTCTCGGTGACTGGGGTGCACTGATGTTTTGATCGTGGTCAGGCAAAATCACGGTGGAAGATATAGAAAATATAAAAAACCGTGCGCAACCAGCTGAACGATTGACGTAATCCGTACACCAGGCGTCGAAGCGGTCAGACTCCATTTGAGCAATACAGAAATCAAGCGGAACATTAGTTTCCTACATCTACTTGCATAACCATAATCGAAAAAGTGCGTGCACCATATTTTCAACCATAGAGAGTTACTACAATTAACTCTTAGGCACTTATCAAAACCGTTTCTCGCTACCATAGCTAGGGGATTATTTTCAGCTTCTGGTTGGCCAAGAGAGATGGTCGAACCTTCTATCTTCGTCTGATGCAGGCCTTGGCCTGCATCAGACGCAGATAGAAGGTTCGACAAACGCAGATAAAAGGTTCAGACGCAGATAGAAGGCTCCTTTCATATACCAAGATCTATATGTACGGCTCTGCTCTGCTTTAGCCCTGTAGAGTGTGCTTTTTGCTGAACACCGGTGCACCGCAGGAAAACAAAGCCTGTGAAAGCAAGCTTCACAAGTGCTGCTTCTCCGCAGTGCACCGGTGCTCGGAAAGAAGTGCGCTCAACGGGGCCGCGAGGACAAAAAGTATGAATTACACGAAAACGTGGTTCAAATTAAGCGGCTTATGAATATATTGAAAACGTAGCGGGACAGCCCAAGTTTTTAAATTTGTTTGACTTAACCAGAGGTATTAAATCTCCGAGTTTGAATTATCGCGAGCCTACTGTCTACTCTAAAGGAGGTATGGCTCACTTGATTGTGCTTAATATCACTGAATGGTTATGCAAATTTTAATTTGCTAGTTTTGATTTCTCAAGCACTTGTTGTGTTGGGTATTCAAATCAATGCAAATTTTTACTTTGGTTCAATTTATGGGAGGTTTGTTTTATATATCATGTGCAGTAGAAAGGTGGGGAGCTGGGCTAGGTAGTAAACACGTTGCCTGCTGATGTTAACCATGTATGTCATATACAGCTTGTTGTGATTGTGTATTGATTTCGAATCCTCTTCTGCTCTTTATTTCAGGCTGCTCTTATACGCACCATGAAGATATCGAAGAGTTCTCCAATTGAACGACAACTATAAGCACAAGCATGGAGGGGCACCTAGATGGCGAGCGCAAGGACAACTGTAATGTAAAATTTCTCCCAACTTAAAGCAAGGCATGCCTTTTTCCAATAAAGGCATTGTGGCAAAACTTCTTAATTGGTTTGTTTGTTCAGCTGTCATCTCCACAAACAGCTGATCTCACACAAACGAAATCCCGGCAAAGAGTAGTAGAGGTTGTGTGCTCTTTCTTGTTGAACTCTTTTTGTTTTGTGTAAGGATAAAAAATTATACAAGTTAGTATATTGAATGACAGAGCCTATGAACTCTCCATACCAATCCATACCTCAAAAGTTTCATGTGACTTCGGCTTGCTTGAATATGGAAGCTGTTTGCACTAAATAACGGAGCACTAGACCTTTCTGTCTTCTTGAAGCCCATAGCTACGAGCCATCCGCACCAATCCTGCACCTCCAATACGTCAGGTGACACCCCTGACAAAGGTATAGCCCTTCCAGGGAAGTCGCCTGATGTGTCGGAGGTGCGGGTGGTACGGATGGCTCGTACCTTTGGCCTTATCTAAGGCCGAAAGGTATAGTGCTTCATTATTTAGTGCCGACAGCTTTCATAATTCCTACGGATAGCCCTCCGTAGTGAGCTACAGACATTCCGTCATTTTACGAAATTGTGTGCCTTGTTTTTACAGACTGTCCAGTTTCTAGATTACGGGAAATCTTGCCGGCAATATAAAACCAGCAACTTTTACCAATAAAATGGGAAAACGGATAACTGTCTGTTAAGTGGAATATAGACGTTCCGTCATTTTACAAAATTATATGCCTTGTTTTTAACAGACTGTTCGGTTTCTAGATTACGGGAAACCATGCTGACACTATGGAACCCGCAACTTTTACCCATAAAATTGAGTGAAATTTTTTTGCAGTGCTCCCATACCCCTTGTCCAAGTCGAAGATGGTCAGACATCTCCGATTCCCACTAAAATGAAGCATCCGTTTCCATTGAAAATAAAGAGTTTCACAATTGATGTCGTAGCACGTCATTTGCGTTCTTACGTATCTTAAGAAGACATTTAAATCCCAAAATGGTTCAACGATAACGGCCACAAAACATTTTGAAAGACGGCTGTAAAACGGTTTCGAAAGACCGCCGAAAAACGGTTGACAACATCGGTCAGAAAACGGTTGGCGATATCGGTCTCAAAACTTTCCCCGTGATCGGTTCAAGTTATTGGACCGATCCGGAGCCCGGGTGCAAATCATTATTGGACCGTTATTTCCTAAAACTGACCGATATTTGTTCGTTATTGGTCCAATATGTTTGTGCTGTCTGGGCTCGTCCCCCCTATCTCGTCGGGAAAACCTGTCCCCCTATCTCGTCGGGTGAGCCTGTCCCCCCAATCTCGTCTTGAAAAGTAAGCGTGGCAACGCCTCTAGGTGGCGTTGCCGAAGACGACCAATGTAAAGAGCCTCCAAGAACGACTGAGCGCTCCCGCTTTCTCGAAGCTACGCATCACAATGACGTACCTCCTTCGGTGTCTAACAACCTAAGGGTTATTATCGACGGCCACGACGCATCTGCACTCGTGGACACCTGAGCAGACTATTCAGTCTTGAGTGGGAGGCTCTCTCGGTACCTGCGAAAAGTGAAAACGCCGTGGGAAAGCCCTGTAATACGAACCGCCAGCTGGTGCTCCATTACAACAGTCGTGAGATACACTGCACGCGTCGAAATCCACGATGAGACGTGCCTTCTGAAGTTCGCCGTCCTGCAAGACTGTGTGAGGAACGTTATCGTCAGAATGGACTTCCACTGCGAGTATGGTGCCGTCATTAACCTTGGAGCTAACCGGTTGACGCTGCAAAAACCTGTTTCACCACCGGAGGAACCCGAAGCGACGTCATCTGCGGTCCGCGTCCTCTCAGGCCACGTGAACGTATCGCTCGGTCGAGTGTTTTCGTACATTTTGGGATCACCGAAGCATTCTGCGGCGAAGTTCTGCTGGAGAGAAGCCTCCAGTTGCTTCTAGAAAGAGGAATAGGCGTCGAAAGAGGAGTAGATGAGCTTCAGGATGGCCGCATTGTTGTCCTCGAGACGAACTTCCGAAATCTAAACGCAACATATCCCAAAAGGTGGAGCCGTGGGCC